TGCTCTCTCTCTCTGTCTCTCTCGCTCGCTCTTTCTTTCGCTCTCTCTCTCTGTCTCTCTCGCTCGCTCTTTCTTTCGCGCTCGCTCTCTCCTGCTCTTCCTTTCGCCGCATCTCTGTGCGCGCGCGACCGCAGCCACGACAAACACGCGCTCCGATTGGCCGGTCACCCGTCGAGCCCTAGGAAGTTAAATGGCCATATAATTGACTTCGATTGGGCGTCTACCAAACCGCACCGACATTTCCGTGGCTCAGCAGAAAATTCCCCCGCACCGCACAATGTGTCCGCCTTTAGAAACGACCCCCCGAAAAACGTCCTCGGAGGAAAATAGCGGCGGGTACGGCAGCCAGGGAGGGCGGGCGTACTCGGGCGACTATACCTGGCTCCCGGAATTCACCGCAGACAGGTGCAGACTCATAATGCACGCGTAAGTGTGAACGAGGAGGGCGTGGGTTGAAACTTATTACAATATTTGTTTTGTGCTAGGCGTCTGCTCGCCGACCCGCTCCCCCTTCCCTCACGACACGTTTCACGCGGGTCAGCAGTGAGCACTATTAGAGCCGCGCACGTGAGCGTGTACGTGCGCGCGTGCGCGTCTGCCTATATGTTCATATATGCGTATGTGCGTGTACGTGCCTGAGTCTTTATGCATGTCCGTGCGGGCGCTCGTACGCACGTGCGTGCGTGCGTGTGTGCGTGCGACGCCTGTTTTTGGTAGCTGACGTGTAATGACTGGAAAGGTAACAGTATTGTGACGGGACGCGTGCCGCCCGCCGGCTCCTCTCCCTCTCTCTCTCTCTCTCTCTCTCGACCCCCGCTGCAGTCTGCGCGCATGCGCAGACCGCCATACATGCTTCCCGCAGTCTTCTCTTGCACTAAAACATGCCGCCCTCTCTGCGGACGCCATTTTCGGTATCGCATCGACATGTACGTACATATACATATACATATAAATACGCGTGCTTCTATTGATGTGGGAGGTCTAGACCGTACTGCTGATATAATTGCCGCACGCGGCAGAAGAAGAAAGCGGAGCTCGGGGGGAGCTTTGAACACGGCGACCCAGCTTTGTGCGTGCCGCCGCCGTCGCTGGGAGAAGAAAGGCAGAAATTGCTCCCGGTTTCTCCTTTGCGACAGCGGTAGAAAGGCGCACGATGCAGGAAACGCGTGAGACTATAGACTATAGACGCTCTCTCTCTCTCCGTCTCCGTCTGCGACTGCGACTGCGACTGCGCGCGTGTAGGCTGCTGGTTTCTCGTGTGTGCCGCACTGATATCGCTTAGCTGTTCTCGCGCCAGAGAGCTCTATCAGCTGTTCGTGTGTCGCTCCTACTTAAAGCTCTTTTGCGAATTGGTTTAAAGAGCAATGGCCGTGTGTAGGTGCTGTGCGTGCTTGGTGGGGGAGACGAGAGAGGAAGAAAGAGAGTGAACGACAGAGAGAGGCAGAGAAAGAGAGAGAGAAGGAGGGGGAGAAGGAGGAAGGTAGAGGGCAATATCCAAAGCGAAGTCTGTGAGAAAGGCAGCGTGAGAGGGAGTGAGTGAGGGAGAGAATGGAAAAAAAGAGAGTCAGGCAGACAGATAGAACGTAGGGGGTAGGGAACTTGAGACGGGGGAGCACCGTGGAGACAGAGAGCAAGCGAATGAGATAGATGAGATGGAGAGAGGGAGGAGATAGAGAACAGCAGATAGAGGATATAGGAGGGAGAGAGGCGGACAGTAGACAGAAGGGATTGGTGGTAGGGAGAAAGGTTACTTAGCACACACGCACACACGCACGCACGCACACACACACATGCACGCACACGCGGGCACACACGGACAGGTACGCACGCACACACGATTAGACTTCGGACTGCATTGATGACTCAGCCGTATCACTTATTCTACGGCGTAACATTGACTTTGATTCATTTATGATAAATGCATAGTAACCTTGCGTCTTTGATACGATTATGGTTGTGAGTTTATTGCTTGCCTCAAGAGCAATACGACCTGACATTTCCACACGTTTACCGGTTTGCAAGGTTACGTATGTAGCCCAAGACGTAGGATGGGCGGTCGTGCTATAGCCTGGCATAAATGCACAAATAAATGCATAATGCATAAATAAATAATAAATGCATAAATGCATAATGGCATAAATGCACCCATGGCCTGCGTGCATTTATGATCTAAGAATTATTACCCCACATCTCTGTTGCTAAGTAAAAATATCTCTCCCCTGCGAGTTTGAAGAAGAAAGAAATCTGTGGCCATAATGCTTGGGATTTTTCTTATATGAGATATAATAATTACAGAGACGATGGGGATCATAATAGGAATAGAAATGGAGAATATGAATACAAATATTACTACTACTACTACTACTACTACTACTATATAGATAGATAGATAGATAGATAGATAGATAGATAGATAGATAGATAGATAGATAAATAGATAAATCAATAAATAGACAGAGGACATAGTGAGAGAGGTGGAGAGCGAGAGGGATAGTTTGTCAAGGCGGATGCTTGCGCTCGACCCCGCTTTCCGCCTGCCGCGGAGGTCAGACGTGACGCGTGTATGTGGGGGCACGCAGTGCGCAGTAGCAGCCTGGCACGTCGTAATGTCTCGTGTCGTGCTCACGCGCGGGCGGACGCAGGCAGCGGAGAGAGCCGCAGTACGTGTCACCAAGTCGCGGACACAAACGATCGTCGGAAGCGATATTATACCGGCTGGTGGATCGAGCGTGTTGCGTAATTCGCAATTCATGTTCGAGTTAATGGAAACACGTGATCAGAGCGTGACCAGGGTGAGGGTCGGGGTTGTTATACAGGTTACGATCAAGGTTAGGTCGCCAGCGTTATTATAAGCGGTTTGTCACGGTGCATCTAAGTTGCGTAACTTGTCCGTCCCATTTTATATAGATACGCGTGTTTGTCCGGCGTAAAAGATGGGAGTTCCGGCGAAACATCGTCTGTTTCTGTTGTAGTACGTTGCAGTATCCAAATTTGGCATCGAGGCATCGTCATTTCAAGGTCGCGCATATTATTTCCTATATGTAGGCCTGTGTATGTAAGAATAACACGTAAACATCGGATCGCGATTTGCCAATCGAGTTTGCGCTTATATGCAAAGCTTTCCATCTAGTAAGAAAAACTTCATAGGTGGATATGGTTAACGGCTTCTCTGTTCTTCTTATGCCATCTCTTATAGCAAATCTGTTAACCATGTGTGTACACAGCGATAGCGTAGGACATCTCGCTAGTTCGCCTTTGTCTGAAATCGAAGGGCGATTTTCAAAGAATTCAAGACGTCGGACTTTCAAGTCGACAAATGTTCAATTTAGCATAAATACACTAATGTAACAAAAGAAACGCGTTTGTTTAAAACCGAAAGGCGATATTCAAAGAATTCAAATAAGTCGAAATTTCAAGTCGACGGAAGTTTTACTTAGTATATATATTAATGTAACTAATCTGTCATAAATGAATATGTCATTATGACTGATGAAAAAATAAAAAATTTGTTACACGGAGCGGCCTTTAAGTTAACGGAGATTGTTGGATAGTATTATCATTCACACTATATACGCCAGCAGGCGAGCATCATACGACTAGATGCGCACGAATGTGTATGTAAGACAAGGTATGTTCTTATCTTGGTGACTTACGGTAAGATACGTGTGGGTAATACGCGTTAGCTAGAAGTGGATAGCCACCCTCTCATACATAATATTTAATTGTCATCTATTGTGGCGCAGCATCGCGACAAACGCGTGCGATTTTACGCCTACATGCGCGCGCACTCGCGTACGCAAGCGCACACCATACATACGACCACACAGTCGCTCATTCACGCACGCGCGCACGCATGCGCACGTACTACACAGTCACGCGTACACAAACACGCACACACGCGCGTGCACGCACGAGCGCTCGATCACGTCTATACGTGAAGGTATAAGAAGGTGCGGTACAGCAGTAAACGGTGGTACAAGGAGCGAGTGATGTGCGCGTTACACGTCACATCTGGTGCACTATGCGCATGCGCTGCCCGAGGCACGTCACGACGATGTCTACTGATGGAAATCGATGGAGAATATGAATACAAATATTACTACTACTACTACTACTACTACTACTAATAATAATAATAATAATAATAATAATAATAACAATAACAACACCATTTCCTTTTGCAGGTAACCCTTAAACTCGGCTTTCTCGTCTGCTGCCTAGTTCTCGTCTCCACTGCCAGCGGCTCTCCGGTCAGAGCCGAAGCCGACATGCTGTCGCTACACTACCCGCGTCACTCGCGCTCGAACCGCACGCACGTCAGTGCGCAGGCGCAGCTGCGACGCATCGCCCGCCTCGAGTCAGTCATCAATCCGCAGTACATGTCGAGTCTCGTCGTACTGGCGCCGAGCCCTCCCTCCCGACCGCCCTTCTCGCGCGAGCTCAACTACAACGAGCTCTACGAGAAGGCGCGCAAAGTGGACGGAGAGCAGACGCATGGGAGCAAGCGCGCCAGCAAGCACTGGGACGAGGCGGACGCGCTGCGGGAGAAGCGAGCTGTCTACGACTACGCGGGAAACATGCCGCAGTCGGTCTGCAACAGCAACTCGTCGTGGGGCGCCCGCCTGACGGCGTTCGACCGCGACGACCGCGAGGTGGCGGTGCTGCAGGAGATCCTCATCAACGGGCTCATCGTCAACCAGTACTTCTACGAGACGACGTGCGTCGCCGAGAAGTCCTGCTACGGCGTCAACCATCGCAAGTTCTACTCGATCTGCCGCAGCTCGCCCGTCTTCGTCTACGCCTACGTCATCAACGCGCACGGAGACACGGGCTGGAGTCACGTGAAGGTCAGCGGCGCGTGCGATTGCGCCCTCTACAAAAAGTAGTTCCTGCGAGACGCGTGCGACGGCGCGCTCTGCAGAAAGTAGATCCCAACGCGACTGCGACTGCGCCCTTTACAGAAAGAAGATCCGGATCGGGATCTAGATGCGCAGACGAGAGGAGCATGGAGGGAAATATCATAATCTAGGGCAGGGGTGCGCATGCGCGCTGCACGGTTCTTAGCGTGTGAGGGGCGGAGAGACGTTCATTTGTCTGAGATACGCGTGTTCGCGCGAGAATACTCTACACAGCTGCACGATAATTTTGAACATTGATTGTTGATTATTAACTTTTGCGTGGATATTGTGCGCGTGTTCCCAGTGAATAAGTGAATGAATGCGTGCGTGTGAAGTTTAATATACACTGCATGTATTTCTGGGCCCTTTTGAATGACCTAACTTAATGTTTGGATTCTGTCAGTGACCCGTCAAGATAGAGGCAGACATACTTCCATTGATTTATTACTATAATGGCGATTATACATAAAAAAAACTTGAGTACGCCGCTTTTCTGAAAGCATTCGCGTACTACCTATAGTTTCCCTAGAAGTTATTATATGATTTTTAATGAGAGACAATGCATTTATTTATAATGCTGATGACGATCTATACAAGAATCCTATCAATACCTAAAGAGATTAATGTCGATAATACAACAATAAGTAGAAAATTATGCCGATATAAATCACACACGCAGTGTATATTATAATTTGGACGTGCACTAGCCGGTAATACCGGGCATTGTCATTCTCGGTACGAAATAGCAGCAGCCACACTGCAAAACCTATAAGCATTATAAGCTTCAAAATGCTTGCTTGCTAAACCAAGTACATACTCAACCCTCCCCTACCCCACCCGCCGAGGCCCACCTCTGCATGTGAAATGGCCTAACAAATCATTTTGTCCGTGCGTGATTTCCTCCGTTTTTGTGCGCATGTGCGTGTGCGTGCGTATGTGTGTGCGTGTGTCTGTGTGCCTGTGTGTGTGCTTGTGTGCGTTGAAAAGAATATGTATAAGATGGGTCCCATTGATTAAGCGCCTCAATCATGAGTCGATGCACTTTGATCTATTTACTCGTCGCTTCAGCATTTGTATAGAATATCATGGGTATGGAATGTTAACTTGCTTTTCATAGTTTACTAACGAACGGAGTCGAGAGTAGTGTTTTGCGAGTAGAAAGAGAAACGCTCGTGATTTTTTGCCTTATATATATATATATATATATTTGTACTAGTCACACGCTCCTTCATGCCTGATCGGAAATATATTGGTTACGTATGGTACACTCGTGCACCAGCGCACGGGCCAGCTTCCCGGCACATTCCGTTAGTTACCGGCAAGAAATTTACGCTGTCATATTTACGACATGCGACCGCTGCTTGTCACACAGAGAATGCCGCGGAAATGGCGAATTCTAGCGACGATCGCTGCTGCGCTGCTTTCGAATATCGAGGCAGCGCGAAGGAGGCGACCTCTACATGAGAGAACAGGAAGGATGATAGCAATGGAATCTTGCCACGATGGCTATAGCTGTGTATGTTGCGCATCGCCTCTTTGCGGCTTCTATTTGTACGGCCATCTTTTGTATTTATTTTCGTCGAACAGCGAAACTTTTGGTCGTTAGTTCACACGTGTGAGACCGCTGTTAGATCAACGATGTAAGTAACGACATAAACAATATTATGCAAAGAATAGCGTCGATACATCCGCGTTCAGATTTCTTAGTGTTTAGTAATGACGTACAAAATTTACGTAGGTGGCGTTGGAAATTAGCTTATTAGCGGTCGAAAAAGCGGTGTCATCATCATCGTTATCATCATCATCATCATCATCGTCATCATCATCATTATCATCAGCAGCAGCAGCACAAAGAGCAACAACAACAACAACAACAACAACAACAACAGCAACAACAATAGCAACTATAATAATAATAACACCCCCCAACAACAGCGGCGACGAACATAACAACAACAACAACAACAACAACAACAACAACAACAACAACAACAACAACAACAACAACAACAACAGAAGCAGCAGCAAAAACAATTGCATCCTCATCCTCATCATCATCATCGTTATCATCATCGTCATCCTGTCACTGCTCGAATTAAAAACTTTTACATTTCTAAAATCTGATAGCGATATCTGAGCGCCATCACGTGATATATA